AATTTAGCTTAGCGCAATTTTTCTAGTTTGCGTCAAGAATAATTCACTTGGCGAAATTCTTTATTTATAGTAATCTATTTTCCTTTCCCTTTTTTCACTGTGCATGAGCAGCTCATAATTCACTATTTATGAATTATGAACTATTTATGAAATGTTAACTATTATTAAATTTCAGCATGTATTAAAAATCCTAGATTATTTATTATGTATATAACCAAAATTTTGTATTTAACTCTTCATTTGTATTCTACATTATGCATTCTATATTCTATGTACGTATCATCAAAATTCGTGTTAATATTTATATGAAATTCTGTCAGTCTATGTCAAGTGCATGTCAAAATTATGTATACATCAAATCAAATTTTTATTGTAATATTATAAAATTTAAATAAACATGGTCCCACTGAGTGATCAATAAAGCTGAAAGTCTTCATGCTGGCACAGCTGCGCACAAAGTGGTCTCTTGTCTGCTGCGCACGAGCAGAAAAAAAGGACCATTGGTATTTCTTTCAAATAATTTTAACAAATTGCTTAAAGCACTTTTGGCGTTATTGTCGCTTATAAAACATATGCTAAATTTTTAAATACACCAATATATAAATTCACATATATCTTGTGAAATTTTAAATTAAATACTCTAATTTTTAGCGGGTATGCCTAGAAATACATCTACTTCAAGGTGATGGAAAAAATTATAATTTATAAATAAAACATGTTTCGAAAATTTATAAAAATTACTAAAAAATACAAATTTTAAAAGAAATCCAAAAACCGTTACGAATTTTAATTCGATTGAATCTAAATTTCGTGCTTTGAAAGAAGAGATCAAGAAGTTTAATAAAAAAAAGAGATATTAATAAATATATGCCAAATTCAATTAACATTGTGGAGCTAAAATTTTGAAAGCTGAGTTTTTTAAAAACGAGTTGTGCGATTTTTACAAAATGTGGCATAATTTGAATCATAGAATTATCGATGTTAGAAAAGTGTTATATATAAATCTAATATATATTTTAAGTCAAGCTGTCGAGACATGAAAAATTCAAGTTAAATTTGCTCAATCGGCCCAGTAGAACGAGTGATATAGAACTGTGCATTTTTTGCTGTTGCTGTTGTCTTGTGCAAGTTTTACATAATATACCGTATCTTCCTCTTTATATGTTACAAAATATTTTCTCTATTTCCTTTTTGACAATTTTTACGTGCGACACATTGCCAACAGTAAGAAATCAAAAATTGAAAATAATGAATCCATTAAAAAAGCTGAAGAAAAATATGTAAAACTTCCTTTAATTTTTGATAAAGGGATTGGGAAAATTAAATATTTGACACAATTTGTATAGCAACATCTTTAGTTTAGGTATAGATCAGTTAAAAATAACTGTTCCGTAATAACGAAGGCGAAAAGACTTGTTGTATGCAAAAAAAAAAAAAAAAAAATTCTTTTATAAAATGACACATTGCTGACAGTAAGAAATCAAACATTTAAAATAACGAATTAATTAAAAACGCTGAAGAAAAATGCGTAAAACTATCTTTAACTTTTGATAAAGGATTGGAAAAATTAAGTATTTGACACAATTCGTACAGCAACATCTTCAGTTCAGCTGTAGATCAGTTAAAAATAACTGTTTCGTAATAATGAAAGACTTATATTCAAGATAAAAAATAAGAAGTAAACTATTATTCATGTCATACAAGACTGTTTGGGGTTGAAAAACTAAAAAGCGAGCAGGAACCCGTTCCATGGAAGGACGAGTTGTAAAATAGATGCTGACGTGATATTCAAAGAATGGTATCGTCTGTATGCAAATAATTCCTGTTTTGCAGTTTTATTTAAACTAACACCGCCTACAGATTCACCTCTTCCATTTAAATCATTTATAGCTTAAACTTTTTGCCATAATATATTTATTTTGCTTTGAAAATTCCTCCCACCACCTCAAAATAAGCTTTGAATAAAGTTGCGATTGAGATTTTATTTCTTGCTATTAGAGTTCAGGTATTTTGAACATTTTATTCACCATTCATAAAACTGGAATTTGTGTGAACATCTATTTTAAAGAACATCTTGTTCGAAACCTAAAAACCTTCACCAAAACTGATAGCTTGCTTCATAGCGATATTTAATTTGTTTCATATATTCTAAAATAAACAGTTTAAAATTTCGTTAGAATCAATTTATATCCTCAAAAACAAAGTATTTTTCAGCAACCTTCAAAAATACGATTAGGATCTGCAAGATTTTCTAGTCTAACTTTTTTTTTCTAAAAATGTTGCCACTTATAAACAAGAAAGTTAATTTTTAAATTTAATTAACATACAGTTTAGATCCTTAGGGACGGAAAATACGAAAAAATTCTAAAATAAATGTCTGACATTTACAATATCCTATCAAGAAATCAGATAACAAAACATAATTAAATGCAAAGTTTTCATCATTCAGATTTTCCAAACATCATGGTTTAAAAGATTCGAAAGTTGGCACAGCATTGCTACAGACTTGCATTTTAAATTATTCGATCGTTGCCGTTTTAAACTGTAAAATTATTTAAAATGCAATTTAAATATTTTACAATGCTTAAATCTCAAGAAAATATTAACAGTTACCAGATAATGTGTGACGTCCAACCCATATAGCGGTTAGCGTCCCTGAGTGCCGTGCCTGGGTTCGAATCACGGAGAGGGTACGGATGTTTGCAAATGTATAGTGTCGGTGCGTTATGGTGGCACTCTAAATATGCGACGAGCCGAAAGTCCTCTTGAGAAGTTGGTAGTAGAGGAAGAGAGGTGGATTCGAGGTTCGAATCCCGCGAATGGGTTGGCTGCATGGGCGTTTTCGTGGTTTTCCCCATGTGTAACGTGTATACGAGCCAGTTCCCTTAGACAGTCCTCCACGAAGGCACCCCTCCCTTTAGGCAGATACCCCTCGTGTGCTTTGCCATAATTGAATAATCCCAATGCCAATCCCTCCCGGGATGCTCTCCATGAAAATTGGAGGTGGAACTGAGCCAAATCGCACTCTCGTCTGCTAGGTGCTCAATGCTGTTGCCAACGACAAGCGTAAACTTGCGCTCATTACCACGAGGAATTTTGTGGGATTGGGCTGACTGTAGGTTGGACAAGGGAGCATTAGAGAGAACAAGAGCAACATGTAATGTTTGAGTTATCTTTTCGTATGAGCTGATACGTTTCAATGTTATTTGCTGTGAAGAACTCAAGTTTAGATATCCGATATAGCTTTGTCATACTTAACTAAAAAAAGAAACGAATAAAAAAACTGAAATTGGAAAAGAAGAAATATACACGGCCAACACAGTCATCTGATTCTGAAATGCTCACGTATATATATAATCTTGTTCAAAGTACTTTCGAATCTTTTGCAGCTTATTTTCAGGTGTTAGCCAGAGTTTTTAGGGCCATAAACGTTTACGCAAAGTTTATTTTATAGCTACGTTGCGAGAACATTAATTTTATGGTTTCTCGTTCATTCTGTTTCATTCAGTGTTACGGTTGAAGAACGTTGGTGCTATCAGCATAGATTTCTAGTCGGATTGTACGACGGGATCGGTTCAATGATTGGGTGGCATGAGGCCTGAAAACGGTCGACCAAAGGAGCAAGAACCATTACGGGTTTAAGGGAGAATATCACGTGTTTTGTGCAAATAACATTTTTAAAGATTTTAAAAAGGGAAGAAGTTTTAAAATTCAAGTTTATAGTTATAAAGGTTTATGATATTTTTACTTTCACATTTTTAGGAGGCGTATTTTTTTAATAAGTACTCACGTATATAATTTTATTTTTATATAATATACATTTATACTGTTCATTTATATATATATATATGTGTCCTATTTTGGGGAAGCATAGCAGAATCAGCTTGTAGTCGTCGTAGCTGAGAGTGAAGGCTTATAGATGAAGATAAAGCTAAAGCACATATGTTATTTCATAAAACTCAGAACGCAGTCGTGAGTATACACAGCTTACAAGGAATAATGATAATGGATATAATGAAATAAAAAACATGACACAGAGGTTTAGGATTCAGTTAACTGCTAATGCTTCTATTTTCATGAATCCAAATTTAGTCAAGTGGATTTAATTCATTGGACGTGAACTTTGGCATCACAGAATTTAAAATTTATTATATTACCTCCCCTCACACCAGGTCAAAATTAAGCTTTGTATTAGGTTCATGCAGCCTCAACCATAACGTAAATAAATTTAAGAAAAAATCCGAAAGTTTTCAGATTTTAAAGGCCTCCCGAAAGAGTTCGTTAAGGTCTTTTACGTTCTCGCTGAGAACGCAGACTACCACCATCCGCTGTTGAATTCACTCCTGCTAATACATTTTTTTTTGTTTTTTTAGATTTATTGTTCAGCATCTCATTTTATTGTTTAGATTATTGTATAGATTTATTGTTCAGCACAACCCAATAGCAAAATTACAAGAATTTAATTTTAAAAGGGGCATAGCAGTACACGTTTAAAATTCCCAATGCTGCATTAAGTGTTGGTTTATATTTTTCTTTTCCGTCTTCTCTTATTTCAATACATTTTTATTTATTAAATACTTTACTTATTAAATGACGTTCTTGGTGCTTACGCTACAGAAAATTCGATTCAACATCTAAATCACAAAATATTTAAAAATAGCATATCTTTAGAATTTTCAACAGACAGTCTCGAGCGTTGGAGAGAAAAATGCTTTTTTTTTTTTTTTTTTTTTTTTTTTTGTTCGTTCGTGCAGTGTTGCCACTGCTCGCTTTGAAATCTTTGAGCTTGTTAATTAAAAATTCTTTAAAGTTTTACAAAATATCCCCCGTAGTGGCGGAAACTAACTATTATAAGCTTTGGCCACTACTAAGGCCGGAAACGGTGGTCATTTTATTATGAAAGCACCTAATAGATGGGCCACCATTGCCCGCTATGAAGAGTTAGATAATTTATATTCATGCCTTCTCCGAGATTCGAAGCAGGGTTCTCCGGTACAGCAAAAATTGTGGAACGCTTCACGATTTCAAATGTCATTTTTGCGAAGGGCTATGCACATTATCTCTGTATTGTTCCAATTTTAGTACATGGGCTGCCGAAGCAAATATGTTTTACAAAATTTGAAATAGATGATATAAGAAATTCGAAATTGAAAATTCGGTCTTCCAGTTGCCCATGTTCGTGTGAAATACTACGCTTTTTAAAATTTGATACCGTTGGTACGCTAGGTACCGTTGTTTTTTCAGAATGTGAGGAAGATACATACCTTCATTCATATTCTTCATTGTTTAATTTCTTCGAATATAATACAGGGCGATAATATTTGGTGTCAAAAATTTGAAAAGTGATTCAACGTAAAATGACGTTTCGAGACTAAAATCCCATTTGGGACTAATATCCCTTTTGAGCTAATAAGAATAATCAAAAGAACATTACTTTGATGGTAATTTTTATCTCTAAAATGATGGATGAATGATTCCGAGAACTTTGACCTGCTAACTTCGGAGAACTTGGGTAAGAACAGTCGAAACCGTATTATCCATGTTCAAGAACATTTAAACATGCATAGAAACTCCTATTTTCAGAGTTTCAACTATTTAATCTTCTTTTCAGAGAAGCATTCAAGACGGCTTAGAATAGCCGTATTGTTTAAGTACAAAGTGCTTAAAACCGCAGTTACACATCATTCATTAAACAAATTATGATAAGCTTCGTTCCAGTTCTCGTAATTCGTAATGCAAATGACATCATTTTCCTTTTAAGACTGGCTATCATAGCAGCCTGAGAATTGAGAAGGATTTTTTCGGAAATATTTTTATAACTCGATTCTGAGACAAGACTAGAATGCAAGAAGATGCGGTCACAACCAGATAGTTCAATCACTTTGAGGAACTGAACCTCATCATACAGATCATGGATGAGTGGTGGCCCGTGGATACGGACGATGAAATTTAGGGCGACTGGTTTGATAAGCCCACCATAAAAAATTCTGACTGCTAATTTTATATTATTTTATTAATTCCTTCAAGAAAGTTACTATAATACTTTTCATTAGAAAAAATAAATGGCAACATTTTGTTTGATAGAGCCTGCTGTGAATGTCAGTGTCTTGTATTTAATTTCCTAGTTATTGTTGCAGAATAATATTAACCTGCTTTTCTTTTGGTGAAAGAAAAACCATAATTTTTATTTTAATAAACTTTCATTCACTTCAAACACACTGCGTAAATAAATTTTAAGTTATCACAACTTTTGCATATAAAGGACACAATATTACTTTTGTCAACAGCAAATGACTAGAAAAAATATCACAACCAAAGGTATAAAAAGGTAAATCAATACTTGTCTTTTTGATTGTAATCCATATCAAAGTTCAACATTTCTTAACTTATTTTACCATTCAACAATTATATTTCAGAAATCTAGCGCCATAAAATAGTGACCGATTTCTGTTACAGATAACCGTGGTTTCCCTTATGCAAAGTAATTTATTTTATGTAAAGTAATTTGCATTTTTAACGGTACTTAGGTATAATCACAACTGCCTTAGTAAAGGTCGCCAACTTTTCGGAATGTGCCAAACTTTGACAACGATGCACATAACAATCCTTTAAGCAACTATGCTCATAACGATGGTTCAGTAGAACAGCGTCGCTATGTTTGTATGCGTACGTTTTACCTTATTCTAAGCTCCAAAATTTTATTGAAAAATCGTGATATTTTTTCCCTTGCACGATCGTGATATTTTTTGCCTTGCACGATCGTGATATTTTTTGCCTTGCACGATCGTGATATTTTTTGTTTCAATTTATGCGCTTGTAAAATCCGCCAACAATGAAAAAAAAACTGCGATAAAATTTCTATAGGAATACAGTATTTTGCCGTCAAATGCCTAAAGGAAACGATGTAAGATGCATTTGGTAGGTAGCCGGTGCGCAAAATTGAGGCTATGAGAAGTGAGAAGTTTGTGAAATTCTCGGATGTTTTTTAAGGAAAACACATGACTGTGCACATGGGGAGAAAAATAGAGCAAAAAAATACAGAAAGATTTAGAGACAAATGTAAGCACTTCATTTTTTATGTACATCATATCATCATTTAATAATAATTAAAATTTTTCTTTTAAATTCCTTAAGTATTTTTCTTTTTCTAATGCTGATAAAATTTGCCGACTTCTGATAAATATCAGGAATCCTTTTTAAAACAATTTTCTATTTTGCACTAGATAAGTTACTATCGCATTTTCATCTATAAAAAATCACCAAATTGGAGCAAGGATGGTTGCGTTAATACTTAAGTATATGTTTAACAAGTATTCAAATCTCAATTACTTTTAGTTGATTTGTTAGCTAGATAGCTATAGGCAAAAAGTTCATTCAATAATTTGTTATTATTGTTCAGTACATATCGTCTAAGTTAATATTCCAATAATTGCGTCAACCAAAAATAAATGAGCTAATACATAAAGGAACAATAAATGTATTATAATACGACAAAGGAGTTCTATGTGATAATTCTTTTCCAAATTTAGTGACTTATAATACCTCATGAAAGAAAGCTTCTAGGTTAAATGCCAGGAAATTTTATTCTGTATTTCCAAAATCCTTACCAAAATGCTTTTTATCTCCATGAAAATGAATAGTGCTTAAGGTATCTAAAATTCCGTTTCTCTTGCACTCTCGGCCCACCAGCGGCCGAGGGGTAAAGTGGCTGAACACTGGTAGTTCGGTCCGAGGCTCGAATCCCGCGAACGGGTTGGCTGCATGGGCGTTTTCGTGGTTTTCCCCATGTGTAACGTGTATACGAGCCAGTTTTCCTTAGAAAGTCCTCCACGAAGGCATCCCTCCCCCTAGGCAGATAGCCCTTGAGGCTTTGCCATAATCACACACACATCATCTCTTGCACTCTCAAGAAGATTATTTAAATCGTGTTGGCAAAATAAATTTCGAATATTCTTTTCCTGATTCATGCTTAAGTAATGCACAGAACATATTTTTTTAAACTTATACCAACAACACAACTCTATTGTATACCTATTACCAATATTATATACCTACTACGCAACTCTATTTTATACTACCTACCAACTCTCTTATATTATATTCTCTAACTGTGAAAAAACAGTTACATTAAGCACAATTTCTATCTTCCTTTCATAGTATATTATTATTCCATTCTCAAGTTCCTAGAATATTATTATTGTATTCTCAATGCCCTAGTATATTATTAACCATTCCTATATTATTACCATTTCTCGTGTATAATTTTGCATTCTCAAGTTCAATATAAACTTAAATTTTGAGCCCTTCTATTTTAATATAACTTTAATGTAAGTTGTAACTCATATGATCAAATTCCGCTTTCACTTTTCCAATATAGGTAGGTTAATTTAAGAATCTCTACTAACTCCAGTAATGACTCAACCAGTGATTAATTTAAGAATATGTACTGCCTCCAATAATGAATCAATCAGTGTTACATTTGAAGAGCTCACTTTGAAGGCTTAACGAGCGTTCCCTCTTAGAATTCTTTTAAATCATTTATGATTATTTTACGCTCGTCATATACAAATGAATTCAGAATTATTGAAAGGGAATTTCACTTGGCTTGCTCAAGGTCATTCTCACGATCATACTTCATTTGATCTCGCAACTTTACAAACTCGCTAACTACCTTTCCACATATATAAGGAAACAACAGCAGAATATATATATGCTCCGACAGTTGGATGCAACTACACGGGCTGGAGTCCCAGCTGAAAATCTCCATATTAGGCAAGGGGTGGAAGTCACCTTTGGGATGAAATGCAGGAAAAAAATGCGTATAATTTCATATTCCGTACAAGGAAGTCATGTGGTGAACACATCACATTTTTATTATATCAAATATTATGCCAATTATTGTTATACATATTACTGTATTAATGTTTTTGTTTAATAAACAATATAACGTTTGCAATTTTTCACACTGTAAAGATTCAGATTGTTAAAATGACAAAGTAGCTTGCGTGCTTATGTGCATATAAGCGAATCAAACCTCATACTTATCCATTTGGTTATTTCTCATTTGCTCTAGGAACGGATAATTAAGGAAATTCTCATTTATCCTTGCTTGGACAATTTACATCACTGCAAATACGAGAAGTTCTCACAGCTGTCTCATTATTTATTCAAAACTAATAAAAAGAGGTGAGCAATTTGTTCTGAGCTCTTTCCTGTTATAACTAAGGATTGCCCCGATGTTCGAATAAATAAATGAGCTTCCTTTCTTTTTTTTCCTGGCTGATCAGAAATTCTTAATAGTCACTGGGAATTTTTTTTCCTGTTGTTAAAGATCACAAATTCTTAGACAGTCAAGTTATCGGTAGATAAGATCAGGAGACTTAGTTGTTTTTTGATCGAAATGACAGGGTAAAGGAGGCCGCTCAAATTTAAACTGCGTATGCAGAACAGGGGGGGGGAGGACTTGAATAAATCAATAAAAAAAGGTTTTACCGTGGATCTGAGTTAGTGTGAAGGAATGCCTCCTGATTGAGTTGAATATCCGGAGAAAGCTTATCTTTCATTAGATTTGCACTATAACAAGGGCTAATTGTTTTTTATAATGCAATGCTTCAAATGGAAATTGATTGTGACTTAGAAATTTAAAACTAACAAGCTCATTTCATACCTATAGGGAAACTATAATTAACATAAAAGTAGCAATTAGTGCAGGCGTCGGCAACCCTTTTTGGCTTCAGGTCAAAATCTACCAAAATGAGCGTATTAAGAAGACGTCTCGGGTCAGCGTTGTTTCCATTTCAAAACAGTTTTTCTTTTGTGAATAATAAAATAAATTTTATTGAGAAAACAATTACAATAAGCTTTAAACAAAATTAAAATTCTAATTCTAATTTTCATTTATTGTAAATAATAATATTTAATTATTATTATTTTTGTTATAATTATTGTAATTATTATTATTTTATAAATTATAATTATAAATAATAATAATAATGAATATTTTATTGTAATTATTGTTATTATAATTATTGTATTTATTGCTATTATTATTTTATCATAAATATTGTAATTATTGCTATTATTATTTTATTACAAATACTGT